TATGGAGGACTTGAGCCCTTCTCTTCAAAAGTTGTGAGGAGTAAGTAGTACATTGAGTTTTCCTTTTATGGTACTGGGGATTGAACCCAGGGGTGCTCTGCCACAGGGCTGCACCCTGGCCCTTTTTATTTGAGAAAGGTGTTGTTAAGTTGCTAAGGCTGGCCTTGAACTTGTGATCCTCCTGCCTCAGCCTCCCGAGTCACTGGAATTACAGGCATGTGCCACTGTGCCCAGCTATAAATTGAGTTTTCAAAGATAGTGAAGGAAACCATCTCTCCAGGACACACAGTGGCTGTTGGGTACCTGCTCTTGTCCCTCGCACCTGCTGGAGGAGAACTAAAGAGGAAGTGAGAACTTGTGCCGACTCGGGAGTCTGACCTCGGTTTCCAGTTTGGAGAGGGATTGTGGAATGGCAGAGTCAACCCAGATGTGCCTTGTCCAGCACAGTGCCCTGGTGCTGTCCATCCACACATGGTGCCTGCCCTTGAGTGGCCCTCAGCCCAGGACGCACTGCAGGGGCCCCCACAGGGCACGCTGTGCTCTCCCTTCTCCTTGCACTGGCTGCTGGGTTCCAGTCTCCTGCCTTCTGAAAGGTGCACCCGGTGACTGCACCGTGGGCTGAGGTTTTCAGCGCCATCCTCTTATTTCTCTCCCAAATGTGCACAGGCATTGTAGACAGCCTTTCCTACCGAGGAAGGGTCAACTCTGAAGGGCCCAGCCAGTGGGGGCTTTGCAGAGCTCACAGGAAGCAGGAATGAGCTTCGCTGGGGCTGAACGCTGTGGCCCTGTGCCCTGGTCACAGGGCCACTGTGGCTCTAGGAAGGGAGGGAAGAGGTTCCCTCGGCTCCTGTGGTGGTGAAGGGCGCTTGTCCCACAGTTGGCCTGCCAGGGCGAAGGCTGTGTCTGCCAGCCGTTCTCCAAACCTGTGCTCCTGGGCCAGGTCTGCCTCCCTGGCTCCATTTCCTGATGCCCAGGATGGGGGTGAGAAGACCCATGTCAGGGTTGCTTTGAGGGTCAAGCTGGCCCTCTGTCTCCAGGTTCTTGTCCCTGTGTAACAGGCTCAGGCTGCAGCTCACCAAGCACGATGGACTTTTGGCACCTTTTATGTGGCACTTGTGTTGCCTTAGGGTGGAAGTCCTCTGAAGGGAGCTGTGAAGGAGAGAGGAGCGTGTGCACGGGCCGTGGGCAAACTCGAGGACTTGAGCATCCTCAGGTTTTGGACCTGGGGGGTTCCTGGAAGCTCCTTCAGATCCTAGGGGGCAGCTGACATCGTAGAGGAGTCCCTGGTGTGCAGTGTGTTCCTGAGGGGGGCCCACTAGTGCTCGCCAGTCCAAGCTGGTTCTGATCCAGTTTGATGTCTCAGCGCTGGTGCCTGTGAAGAGTGCCGAGCCAGACTTGAGTTTTATGAACCCAGGAGTGTTTAAGGCCCCTTTTCAGCCATAGAGCTCAGTGAGTTGGTCAGCACATCAAAAAGCCCGGGGACTTAGGTTGGTGCCTGTTGATGGTCAGGATCTTTCTCAGATGTGTCCTCAGCGCTGGGCCTTCTCCGGAGGGACTCCTCTGTAGGACCTGCCTGGAGGTCAGGAATTGGAGCTGGAGCTTCTGGGGGCTTCTCATCCAGTGCTGGCCCCGTCCTCTGGGCCTCCTGTGGTGCTGCCAGGAGGGTGGAGGTTGCTCACCTCTGTTCTGACACCTGGGGAGATACCTTGAGGCTGGCAGGTGACTGGGAGGGTCCTGCCGGCCCCCCTGGGAGGGCTGGGCTAGTGAGTTCCTTGTGGCTCCTGTGGACTAGGAGGAAGCCCCCAGCTTTTCAGAAGCAAGTCCACATGGCCTCGTGCCTCCCTTACAGCCACAGACCCTCTGTCAACAGGCTCTGGACAAGTGGCTTGTTACCTCACTGTGTTAGGCTCTGCCCCTGTGACAAGGTCCTTGCTGTGGGGCCTTTTTGTGGGGAGCAGACTTCATTGCTCATAGTTGCCAAGGCTGGCAGCCCTGGGCCAAGGTTCTGGCTCAGCTTCCAAGTAGCATCTGTCACAGTGTCCTCTGGAGGGACGGCCGTGTACTCACTTGGCGGGTGGAGCAGAGGGTGAAAGGGAGGACTGCTGTGTCCACACCCTCTGGAAAGCGAGACCTGCTGCCGGCTGGTCCCACCAGTGAGGCCTCATCCCCAAGGCTCCTCGCCTCTGAAAAGCCCCCTGCTACTTGTCATTGTTGGTTAGATTCAGTTTGAAGTCTGCCGACACTATGAGACCTCAGCACTAACTCGGTCAGTTCCCTCATCTGGGGATGGGATGGACTAAGTCTTTCGCCGCTGCACACGTGAAGGTGTCCTGAGTCGCTCTCCTGGTCTCCATGGGTTCCGCTTCTCCTTCCCGAGATCCTGCGTTGACCTCATCTCGACTTTGTGTTCAGAACCAGCCCACAGCCCTGGCAGACCTGTCCTCCTCTTTCAGTGCCACACTGGCAAGGACAGGATTATTCCAGATACACTGCAAGGCGAGGCAGAGTCCAGGTCCCCAGCACTGCATCCGCCTGCCTGGGAGGGGTCCTGGCCCATTGGGCTGGCAACCTGGTCCCTGCCTGTGCCTGAGTCACCCAGCCTTTCTGGGCCCTGGTGTTCTGTCCACAGAATTGGCCTACCAGTTGTTCCCATCACAGGGAACAACTAATAACTAAATGATGTCACCGAGCCCAGGGTTTAGCACATGGCAAGAGACACCTTCGGCTGTAATAATTATTTTTAATTGTGGGCAGGTACACATAGGGTAAAATTTTCCATACCTTTTTTTTTTTTTTTTGGTGGTACTGGGGATTGAACCTGGGATTACCACTGAGCACCTTACCCCAGCACCTTTTTAGTTTTTATTTTAACACAGGTTCTCCCTAAGTTACTGAGGCTGGCCTTGTACTTGTAATCCCCCTGCCTCAGCCTCCTGATTGCTGGGATTACAGGTGTGCACCAAAGCCCCATCCCCCCAACCCCCAGTTAGTTACACATGATAGCAGAATGCGTTTCATTTCGTGTACACAAATGGAGCACAACTTTTCATTTCTCTGGTTGGACATGATGCAGAGCTGCACCATTTGTGCAGTCACACCATGTACCTAGGGCAGTGATGATCGTCTCATTCCACCATCTCACCTACCCTGTGCCCCTCCCCACACAGGATTAGGGCAAAGGGGACCTGGCGTGAAGGAGACACCCAGGTGGGCAGTGGGTAAAGACAGAGTTGCTGTTACGTCTGCTTATTAGCCCAGTCTTAAAGCGCACGCCCAGGTCATGCCTGGCTAGGGACACTGAGCTGCAACATTAGGGGGACAGCTTTTCTGCCTGCTTGTTGGTGGGATTGCCGCTCATATTAGCAACATTTAGTGGGTTTAACTGAAGAGTAAAAACGCCATGACCCGAATGGCCGTTTAGGAATCACTGGCACCACGAATGCCTTCTTCATTTTTGTTCTCCGGGCTTCTCAGTGGAATTCCCCCCCCCCATTTTTTAATTGGCGATTTGTAGTCACACGTTATGGCAGGATTTGTTGTTACATATTTGTTCATGAACACAGTAACAGTATCATTCCTCAGCACTTCCCTTTCGCTCCCTGCCTCCCTCCCCTGGCCCTTTCATCTGCTCCAGTGTCTCCCTTTAGTTTTACGAGGGGCACCCCCACCCCCCCCACTTTCTTTTGGATTCTCTGCTAGTAGAGGCTACAGGTACACACTATTCTCCGACCACCTGAGAACGTAGGACACAGTTGCCAGTTAGGAAAAGGAAATTATTGGCAGACAGATGTTTAAAAACTTGGTTTATAATTGTTTTTGGATGAAAGTCACCTTCGAGTTTTACCTTCTGAGATTTGGTGCAGTGGGGTGGGGGGGGGGTCAGGTATGCAGTCCCAAAGTCGTAAGTAATTTAAAATGCTCATCTGTATTAATATGAAGAAGAGTCACGCAAGCTAAGGAAATCACCCACAAATAATTAACAAGTGCCACCACATGTTACTGTTCCTCCAAGATTCTTCCAAGGTCTGTGTCACTGCTTGTACAACAGGGTACATTGTGTAAGACAGTTTTATTTTCATGCTGCAACAGGAGTGGCCCATTTCCTTATGCTCAAACGCTTTTGTAAGAATTGTAACTTTAAAAAATCCTTCTAAGGTTGAACCTCAAATACCTCTAAATATGCTGATTTTGCATCTGTGTAATTAGGTCAACCAGTTCCACAAGGAACCTTGAGTTATGGCTTCCAGAATTTTTGTAATATAGACATTTTAAAATTAAACTTTGTATCAAATGAAAAAAAGAAACGAGTTGATTGAATGAGCCCTTCAGTACCTCCTTGCTTTGAATTCACTTTTTATGGCCCTCTCTGCACACTGCCTGCAGTATTGGGAGGGACAGGCAGATGTGTGCGTCCCCAGGCGCAGCTCAGAGCCCACAGGCTGCTCACTGGGAGCTAGTGTCCAGGTGGTTGAGACGCTCTGGGCTCCTTGGGCATGGGTGATGCTTGTGGCACACGTCTGTGGAAAGGCCCTGGCTTGCCACTGGGTGGCATCTGTGGCTAGAGATAGAGCAAAAGTGGCCGGCAGAAGAAGAGCGAGGGCACCATCCCAGCCCTCCACTGGCTGGCTTTGAGGCTGGCTAGGCTTGCGAGTGCAGGGACAGAGGATGTCCCACAGGTGCCCAGGCCCCTCATCCTGTCAGCACATCAGGGCCCACTTTCTGCTGCCTTGTTTTGTGTCCTGTGGTGGCCTTGGGGAGAGTATTTATGGCAGAGGAGGCAGAACCTGTCTGCTCCATCTTGCACCATGGTACCCGAGTGCAGGGACTGCAGGGAGGAGAGGGCTGGCCTCTGGGCAGCCACAGCCTGGGCCTTTCTGCTCTCTGTGGAGATGCAGCCCTCCTGGGCTTCATGGCAGCCCAGCAACTGCTCTTCCTGCCTGCACGCTGCCCCTTACCCCCCACGCTGCCCCTTACCCCCACGTGCTCTCTCTCTCCTGCAGTCTTCGGTTTGTGCCAAGATCGTGCAGCTCCTGGGGCAGAACGAGGTGGACTACCACCAGAAGCAGGTGGTCATCCTGAGCCAGGACAGCTTCTACCGTGTCCTTACGTCGGACCAGAAGGCCAAAGCCCTGAAGGGACAGTTCAATTTTGATCACCCAGGTGAGTCAGGAGGGCGGGGAGGTGGCTCAGTGCTGCCAGGGGAGGGTGCTGCCCTCTGGGCTTCCCCTGGTTGAACGGGGACTCGAGAACTGCCCTGCAGGGCTGTTGTGGGCTTCTGGGGAAGAAGCACCAAGGTGACAGTGGGAAGCATTTGGGAAGACACTGATGTTGTGCCTGGCTCGTGACACACTGTCACTCTGATGGATGTCTGGGGACCTGTGAGAGCCTGGGCCTCAGGTGGGCCAGCCCCGAATGACCCGACAGTGGGTCCTCATACCACTGCCAAGCTGCAGCAGCCTGCGCTGCGCCTGTCACCCGCCACCCGTGGGCACCGCAGGTGTCCAGCTCATCGGCTGGCACACAGGCTCAGGGTGGCTGCCTGGGTGTGTCTTGCACTCAGTGGTCTAGCTAGGCACAGGGCTCCTGGTGTCCGTAGTCATTGGCCTCCTGGCGAGCATGTGCCAGTCCCAGGCCAGGGCTGAACTCGGGGTGGGGAGGATGGTGCAGGCCTGGGATGCATATCGGGGGCAGAGACCTGCGGTCAGCTCACTTGGCTGGCCTGAGGCCAGGCAGCTTTCACGTCCACCTGGGGCCTGGAGTGCATGGTCATGGGAGGAATTAACTTAAATCAAGACGTTCTGGCGGTTTGACTTCCTTCAGATGCCTTTGACAATGAACTCATTTTGAAGACTCTCAAAGAAATCACTGAAGGGAAAACAGTCCAGATTCCCGTGTATGACTTCGTCTCCCATTCTCGGTAAGTGGGTACCCGCCACCCAGAGCAGCCTGGGACTGCACTCCCACCCCGTCCTCCACCCTGCCGCTGCCAGTGGAGGGACGATATGGCCCTGTGCCCTGGCTGCCTGTGGGGGGCGTTCCTGGATGGTCAGGCGGGCATGCTCCATGGCGCTTGGGTAGGGCTGCACACGTGTTCTGGCTCCACACCCCAAGCTGTTCCTGAAACAGGATGTAAGGAGGACAGTGGAGGAAGGGCAGGAGGAACAAAGAGCCCTTCTTCCTGCTCTCCTGCTGCCTTGGGATTGGACCGTGGAGGGGTGTGGGGGTTGGAGGTTGCCAGGTGCAGGTCTTGGGATCAATCAGACACTCTAGGAGGCCTGTCAGCCCAGGCCAAACAGTTCCTCAGCACAGCTTTACTCTTGGTGGCCCTGACTAGAAACAGATGCTGGCTGGGTAATGTGTCCTCCTCCCTCTGAGTGTTGGGAACGGGCTCCTGGGGAGTTCCCTCCTGCTACCTGATGCCAGGCACCTTTGGCCCTTGTAGGACTCTCTACTCACTCTGACCCAGATTTCACATGGCAGCTCTGGGGACGTCCCCGCCGATGCTGACCTGGAGAGCACACTGCACCGGCGTGGCTCCTCTGTGCTCTGGGCTCCTCGCGGCCCTCTGGAGTTTCAGCTGGGTGCTGTACGTGCCCTCCTGTCTACTTTTCATTCTTCCCTCCTGGCTCTTCTCTCCCATTCTCTCTTGAGTTGAAGTGTTGATAGGAAATTAGAACTCATCTATTACCAGATGTCCCTGTAATCATGAACCAGCCGTCTCTGCGAGCTCTGTGCCTGCGCAGCTCAGCCTTAACGCAGTGTGTACCCAGCCTGCACCTCTCTCAGGTGCCTTAGGCATGGCAAGGAACTGTCCGAGGAGGAAGCCAAGAGGGAGGGCATGGGGCTCTAGATGCAGGCAGCCAGGAGTCGCCATGAGGGAGGTGCCCAGCCCAGGACGCCAGGCATCATGCCCCCGTGTCAGCTGGCAACCCTCCCAGATGATACAGGAATAAAGGGGTTCAGTGTAGGAGTTGCAGCTGATCTGAATGTTGGGGCTGGTAAGTGCAGCCAGAGAGTGAGGGAAAACATCAGTGTCCAGCCTGACCCCTGCACCAGCACACCTTGTCCAGCTCCCAGCCCCTGGTGACGCTGAGAGGTGTTCTCAGTGATCTGGCCTCAGCACCATGCTCTCCTGAGCACTGTGGATTCTGCTTCACGGTCGCCTTCCAAGTGTTCATGGCAGAGTAGCCTGGAACCACAGCAGGAGGGCATCCTGGGAGTTAGTTCCACCAACTAACTAACTAACTAGTAAGGTGTGGTAAGCTGGTGACCGAGTCCGCCCCTGCCCGAGCTCAGGAGGAGGCATTGCAGTGTGGTCCCTGAGGGGAGGCTGGGCACCTCCAGCAGCTGCATAGAGCAGCCGTATGTTGGGGAGAGGTTGTTGGCAAGAGATTTCCAAGGTGACAGTTGGGAAGCATTTCAGGGATCGTGTTCTGTGCACACAGACAGCTGGGGAGCAGGAGGGATGGGTAGGTGTGTGTGAGCGGCTGAACGAGGAGGCAGGAGCCAGGTAGGCCTCAGGTCCTAGTCCTGCAGGGCATGGATGTCAGGCCAAGGAGCACAGATGAGCTAGCAGCGGGGGCCCCAGGAGCTCCACTGTGCAGGAAGGCCATTCTGGAGCAGGTGCTGCCCAGGAAGAGGCCTGTGCCGCACCTACCAAGGCAGTGGACGGGGGTCTTTTTTTTTTCTTCCCTTGGTACCAGGTATTGAACCCAGGGAAGCTAACAACTGAGCCAAATCCCCACCCCCTTGTTAATGTTTTATTTAGAGACAGGATCTCACTGACTCTTACTAAATCACCGAGGCTGGCTTTGAACCCGTGATCCTCCTGCCTCACCCTCCTGAGCTGCTGGGATTATAGGTGTGCGTCTTCGCACCTGGTGGAGTGAGGGTCTTGATGGAGAGAGGCTCCGATCACTGCAGATCTTTGGCGGTGGAAGAAGCGGAGTACTTCTGCAGGAGAGCTCTGTCAAGTTCATGTGTGGACAGTGGCCGCCCTGGTAGAACTCCCAGGACAGATGCCTTTTATTTTAAACCTCTTCTAGTGACGCCACACTAGTTTTGCGCCTGAGTCTGTGGAGGGCAGGAACTTGCCCAGGGCAGGGGCTGCGACCGCGATCCCCCAGCTGACCTGTCTCCTCTGCTTTGCAGGAAAGAGGAGACGGTCACTGTCTATCCCGCGGATGTGGTGCTCTTCGAAGGGATCCTGGCCTTCTATTCCCAGGAGGTTCGAGACCTGTTCCAGATGAAACTTTTTGTGGATACAGATGCAGACACCCGGCTCTCCCGAAGAGGTGTGTTCCAAAAGCGCTGTTGGTGGCCACCTTGGGGACAGGGGACCTGAGAGTCCATGAGTGGCCCTCCCCACCCCCCTGCCTGAGTCAGAAGTCTGGGCCTTCCCAGGGTAGGCGTGTGTCTACATGGCCGAGCCTAGCTACGTCAGTCCAACCCCAGGATGTCTTGCCGCCCAAACACTTGGTGACATTTGAGAAGGGGTTAGTCACTGGCTGTTTTGGATGAGACAGGCTGTGAGGTCACTGAGTTGAAACCAGAAGTCCGCCTGCTTGTCATACCAGGGAAAGGTGCCTAAACACTAGTTCCTTGTGGTCCCTAAAGCCCCCCAATGGATGTCTCGACCTTGGCTCAGCCACAGGCCATGGAGATGGGAGAACCTGTCCCCACAGCTCCGGGTGACCCTCCCACCACTGCCGCTCCAGCTTTGCCAGTTTTTCCAGATGGCGCCAAGCAGGCTCTGCTGAGGCTGTGCCCACAGCCAGAGGTACAGAGGTCTCTGGTGGGGCCGAGCTCTGGAGGGTGTGGTCCACTAGGGGCCTGGGACCTAGATGGGGTTGTTGATGGCATAGGTAACCCAGGAAGGTGCAGGGCAGGTGAATGGGGGCCACTGCAGGCCCAGGACTTGGTTTGGCTGCTGGCGGGCGGGGACAGCAGGGGAGTGGAGCACTGCTGCTCTCTGTTGGACGGTCATTCTGACAGGAAACATAGCTGCAGGCGGTTGGGAGGCCATCTGTGGATCTGGACTGAGGCAGGCTGTCACGGAGGTGGTGGGAGAGGGGACAAGAGAAGGTACTAGCAGAGCAGGAATTGGGATGGTGATGGACAGGTGGCGGAGAGGGGAATGAAAGGCGACCAAGTCTGCGTCCCTGTTGTGTGCAAGAGGAGAGGGCGCAGCGAGGGCGGCTGCTTGGCCAGGCAGTCTAGACAAGAGAAGAGCAGGATGGGAACCTGTGCTTGGTCCCAGCAGAGTTCCAGCCTGTTTTGTGACTTGGGCAGCTCTTGGGACACCCCAGGCATTGGTGTCCTTGTGGGAACTGTGGGACAGGCCTGCTGTTAGCAGTGCGGTTCTGTTTGGGTAGGGTTGTGTGGCTCTGTGGGTAGGTAACGGGAGCCCCAGCCCAACCTCCACCCCTCGATTCTGCTTCACCAGCCTGGGCCCCCCTCGCCTGCTGTGGGTACTCCTGCCGGGACCAGTGAGGCAGCTTGGGGTACAGAGCGGAGTCAGGAGTGAGTGGTCCTGGGCTCTTCTTCCTATTGGAGGATCATCTTGGATGAGCACCCCAAGTGTCATGAGGATTAGTGGTTCCGTGGGGTGGCCCATGGTTTGTTAGTTGAGGCCTGTGTGGCAGATAGAAGCCCCTGTGTTCGGGTGGCTGGGGCGCTTTCTCTGGGCTCTCTGTAGGACTGCAGGGGCCACATCCTGGGAGCTGGCACCACTGGACTGATGTGGTCACTGCTGCTGGGCCTCACTCAGCCGGGAGTGCAGGGTGTTGGGGAAGGAAGCAGGGGAGGGGATCGGGAGGGACCCAGCAGGCCCTCACTGTGCGGGCTAAGCTCCCGTGTCCTCTTCTGGCATGAGATCCCCATGAGGAGTGAAGAACCCCCTCGCTGGAGGCCTCGGGCCCAGCTCTGCTGACCCGTGCACCCTGACGCTGCAGTTGCTCACTGTTTCCTTCTTACCTGGTGGGCCTTCTCCACGCTCCACCCTCTCCACATGGGACACACAGAGGGCCTGGCATGGGTGTGGGGGGCACCGGGTACTGAGGAAGAGGGAGGGGTGAGCAGCAGCAGCTGTGGGGCTCGAGCACTCCAGCCCCCTCCTCGCCACGCCCCGCCACGCACATGATCCCGTGCTGAGGCAGCCCTGGTGGGGGTTCTGCCTTGGAGAGGTGCTCCTGTACTCAGCACGTGGCTTCTAGGTACTCCCTATTTCACAAGCTCCTCACCTTGCTCACCCGGAGTACAGGGCAGGGGGCACATGGGCAGGGCGAGCAGGGCTGCTAATGCCCCTCCTGCCACCTCACTCAGGTAGGGAGGCAGGGTCTGTGGGATGTGCAGTCTGCTCTTTCTCTGTGGGTGACACAGCTCCTCAGCCACTTGCTGATGTGAGTCCACGTGACCAGCGAGGGATTGTCCTTGTCGTGGCTCCTCCTGAATTCCTCTTGGCTTTATCAGGCCAGGAATAGCAGTGCTGGGTTGGAAGGGCAGAAGTGAGGAGGCCAGGCACGGATCATGGACAGACTTGTCACTTCCTGAGCTTGACCCCGACCTCTCAAAGGGCCTGTCCTGGCCCAGCAAATGGGTGGCCTTCAGACTGTGGACAGCTGCCAGTTATGAGTCCCAGGAGTTCTGGTTTGTGCCAAGACCTTGCTCTGACTCAGCCCCGTGGCGTGTCCTGTTTCTGGCTGTGTCAAGGGGCAGGCTTCTCATTGCAGTGGGCGGTGCCTGCGGGGTCTCTGGCTGCAGAGTTGGGCCGGGCCTTCTGGTCTGCAGGGTTCCTGTGCCAGGACAGCCTTCTGGCCGCTTTCCTGAGGCACGGTCCCTCTCTTCCTCTCCGTTCCCCCTCCCTCCCTGTCCCTCCCTCTTCATGTGACTCTAATGCACATCTGCTTTCTGCATGACCAGGCACTTCTCGAGCCCAGTGCATCTTTGAGCATCCGGGTCTGTAGGACACAGGGAGCCAGGACCTAGTGGGGCGGAGGAGGCTATGTGTGGGGTGTCCTGGCCACGCAGGAGCTCAGGCCTCCCACAGTGCGGAAGCCATGCGCGTCCTGTGTTGCGAAACAGAGCCCGCACCAGGGCTGTGGGGAGCCCCGGCCTCCTGGGTGCCAGGGTACTCGCTCTCCTCCAGTCTGACGCCCCTTTGATCGGGCTTCCTTTACTGTGGGCTTTATCTGGGGACTTGCCGCAAGGCTGGACAAAGCTGCTTCCTGGCAGGAGGCAGTGGGCTCTGTGGACAGGCAGAGTGGGTGTGAGGCAAGTCCTGGCTCACTGGGGACCACAGACTTTGCATAACCAGAGCTGGTATGAAAGCCAGCCGCCCCTGTGGGGTGGCTCTGGGAGGCGGGATCAGAGCCACTCCATTCCTTCCTGGTCCAAACCTGCGAGTGTAAGCAGAGTGATTGTTCCCACACGGCTTTCCAGAAGTCCACCCTCAGATCCTGCCTCTGTGCGTTTGGTGCGTCTCACCCACACTCGAGCCGTTAGTTGAGAAATGTGGGAGAAGGAGCCGAGGGCCCCTTACAGTTGATGGTGGGTGGGGTGGCAACCTTGGGCTTGGCTGGAACACACAGCAGCTGGGCAGCAGGATCCCAAGCCACGGAGGGCCGTGTTGGTGAGGGAACCTTCTGGGCTCACTGCCTAAGGGGCGGAGGCTGAAGGAGGTCGGGGTGCAGTGGCAGAGCCAGGGCTACCGGCCCCCTTTCTGTTTTTTGACAAAGGAATTAACAAAGTGGCGAAAGTCCCTGAATGAAATGGACTAGGCGAGGATAGCGGTGGCCGAGTCTTGTGCCACCTGGGTTGCTTCTCTGCCCCGGGCCACTGTGTCCTTTCAATAAAGACAGTCCTTCAGTTTGCAAACCTCTATGCCTGAAGTGGGCAAGGCCTCCCTGCCCAGGTGGCTGTGGGCAGCCAAAAAATGAACTCACCTGACCTGCTGTAGGGGGTTGCTGGACTTCCAGACAAGACGAGTGGGAAGGGTGCGTGGAGCCACCACCTGCCTGGGTCCTGGTGGCGGCCTGTGACCCTCAGCCCTCAGGGCCGTGCTGGGTGTGCAGTTCACCTTGGAGTCTGGTTTGGGCCCGCTGTGGGCTGACACAGGAACGCTGCGGGCTCTGGGCCAGGCAGTCTTCTGTTTCCCGCGATATTTTTGGTGAAATCCGGGGAAGTAAGACTTAGACGCATAACTTGTTTCTGTGAAGCTGCTGCTGCCCTGTTCTCACAGGTGAGGAACCAGCTTGCGGCCTGTGGGAGTGAAGGGAGCCCAGGGCCTGCTCTCCCGCGGGCAGATGCCTGGTGGCCCCCACACTGTTTTATTGATCCTTGTTTTTCTTCTCTTATAGTACTGAGGGACATCAGCGAAAGAGGGAGGGACCTTGAACAGATTTTGTCTCAGTACATCACGTTCGTCAAGCCTGCCTTTGAGGAATTCTGCTTGCCGGTGAGCTGCATTGTGGCTTGTTTTGTTGGATGTACACTTAATTTTGTGGTGCACTAAAGGTATGCAAGTCGCTGCAGTCCCCAGCTCGAATCTCCTTCCTGTCTCCGAGCATCTCCACCCTGAAGTCCCAAGAGAGGGCCGCCTTAGGTGCGTGGTGTCCTGTGTGTTCCTGGGAGCTCCGTCCTTCTGTCCTTCCTCTGAGAGCCAGTGAGGGCCATGTAGGCCTGCTGCTGGCTCTGTAGGTTCTCAAGTTCTGCACTTCGTGCGAGGTGGTGTGGCTGTCGGGTCCAAGGGTGGTCCCTAGCCTCCTCTTGTGCCCTCCAGTCCTGCCAGGCAGCCGGGAATGCTGAGGCGAGACATTGTGGAGACAAGGAAGGGGGTCGAGGGCCTTGGAAGCCAGCCCTCAGCCTGGGGCACACTGTGCTTCCTTGGGGACCCAGAGAGGCCTGCTGGGAGCCTGCTGGAGACTGGGGCGTGACCCAGGGTGGCTGAACCCTGGCTGAGCCCCTGGTGATTCATGACTGAGCCCCAGCGGGAGGAGGTGGAGGCTGGTGAGGGAGTTAGGGAGGTCTTTTGGGGACTGCAGTCTGGAGAGTCCTTGAGCAGGGTGGGAGTAAGCCTGGGCCTGGGCATTCCTCGGCCTGTCCTGGTGATCAGCTTCTTTCTCCTCTCCTGGGAAGCTGTCTTCCCAGCCTGTCTCTTGAAGTCTGTTGGTAGATCTTACATCAGGTTGGACTTGACTCGTTTCCAGCCAGCACAGGGGGGCTTCCTAAGCTGGCCTGAGCAGCCTTGCCACCTGTCCGTCAGCCGAGGGGACGCAGGAGCTGTGCAAAGCTTTGTGTCCATTCAGCTGTCCAAGGCCCTTCTTGCTCTAAACTCAATAATAAAAACCCAGAGTGACCTCATTGTCAGACACCACTTTGCCATTAACCTAGTTGGAATGGAGTGCAAGATTCTGGACAAATGCTTTTTGGGTTGTTGCTGCTTATTCCCACTGTCAGCCCCACTTTGCTCAGGAAAGACCAACTTGTTCCTCCGCAAGCCGGGGACTGAGACCTGTCTGGATTGGCCTTGGGCCTGGCAGGACTGTGTGCCAGCGCCTGACGTGGAAGTTCACCGTGAGGCTGCTCACACGGCAGGCGCAGAGTGTGCCTACAGAGCCAGGGAAGCTGGTCGGGGGCCACGGGCCTTTTCTGGCCTTTCCTGGGCTGGGATAAGTCCCGTCACCTTCAGACTGTGTCAGAGCCCAGATGGCCTGGCCCCCTTGAGCCCGGTGGTTCTTGTTCCTCTCTTTCCTAGTGTTAGGGCCCTTGTGTGCCTGGCCCACGTTCTGTGCAGGTCATGGTACAGACTGTTGGGCTAGCCCAGGAACTAAGAGGCCCCTGGTTTGCTGGAACGTGGATGGAGTGCATCCAGGTCAGGCGCCTGATGAGCAGTCGGATCGTGGGTTGCCTTGAGGTGCCGCCCAGTCGGGACCAGTGCCCTCACTGACACGGAACACCTTCGCCCTGTTCCTCTTGCCCTTGCCTGCTCCCTTCCTCCCTGGCTCTGAGGAAGGCTGGCCCTTGTTCCTGGGGAGGGGCTGGTCCCTGCACTCTGAGCCCCTCTGTTAACACACTCTGCATGTCTTTCTTCACAGACCAAGAAGTATGCCGATGTGATAATTCCTAGAGGTGCAGACAACCTCGGTGAGTCCCTGCGGGTGCTTCACCCCTGCGGCTGCCAGCCACAGGCGGGGCGGGGTGTGGTGGCATGGGCTCTGTGCTCTACGATGGGAGCAGAGGCATTCCCTCTGCAGCCCTGTCTTGGGATCATGCCCTGAGTGGTGTGCAGTGTGTGAGGGCAGGCAAGGGCTGTGCCCTTGGAGGAGCCGTGGCCTTCTGCTAGTGCCCAGGGTGACCCCTGGGTGCCTCGCCACCTGACTGCACAGCAGGCCGCCTCCTCAGTGTGACGCAGAGGATCTGCTCTCGTGAGTGCCCGCAGAACACAGCCGGCTAGACCCCTGGGTGCTGTGTGCGGGTGCTGGCTCGCCTGGGAGCCCACCCAGCTCCTGACTTGGCGTCTGCGGCAGAGTTGGTCTGTCAGATAGGACCCTGTCTTCTCTTTTTTTTCATTTGTCCTCCATTTAAAACGTTGATTGCCAGGTGCAGTGGTGTACGTCTGTGATCCCCGTGACTTGGGAGACCAAGGCAGAAGGTCTGCAAGTTCCTGGCCAGTCCAGGTAGCTCAGCAAGACCTTGCCTTACAATTAAAAACAAAACAACAACAACAACAAAATGGTGGTGCTGCTCAGTGGTAAGGGTGCTTGCTTCACGTGTGGGCGGCCCTGGTTCAGTCCCGAGCAGCGCACTCACACAGTTGGCTGAGTGGATGGGGAATTTGTCATGGTGACCCTTTTTTTTTTTTTGTAAAGCAGTACTGAGGACTGTGCCCCAGGTCCCCTGCATGCTAGGCAAGCAAGTGCTCTGCACTGAGGTGTACCCCCAAGCACCACCGCTCCCTGTAAATTCTGAGACAGGGTCTCACTGAGTTGCCCAGGCTGGCCTCGATTAAAGTACAGGCCCCAAAGGATGGACCCATGGATTCGGCTCAGGCTCTCGAGACCCAGGCTCCCTTGCATCGTCTCACACAGCTTTTGGGGGAGACCTTGTATCCAGATCACAGCCCTGGAGTTAGAGGTGTGGGCCACCATGCCTGGCATCACCGCGCGGCGAAGAATGAGGACATTCTGACCCACAGGCACAGTGCGGTCACCGTGTTCAGGAGAAGCAACATTGACGTGATCTCTAGCCAGCAGAGGCTCCTCAGCCTGTCTCTGGTCTTCATGACAGTGGCAGTGGCAGTACAGGGTTGCTGGTGGGCAGGTGGCCCTCAGCTGGGGCCATCCTTTGTGTCTGGTGACCAGATGAGTGTGGATTGCAGCAGGAGCACCCCGTGTCTGTTCCGTGCTTGGTGACATTTGCATCGGTTGGTTGAGGGGTGTATTTTGTTTCTGGTGGCCATACATGCGGCTCTGCCCTATGCTTCTGAGGGAGGAGAAGCCCTTTTCCTGGGGTTGCCCTCTCTAGGTGGCAGGCTCCTTAGTCAAGGGCCTCATGGCCAGCTGGTGGTGTCGGAAGTAGGGCCAGCTGCCCTCTCCGGAGAGTTGTGCTGGTTACCTTGCCGCGGGGCACTCTGGTCCTCGCTGGTGACAAGCCCTTTCTTTGGCATTGTCTGCCTTCCTCCTCATGTGCTCCTGTAGGGGACATCATGGTAGCCCGTCGAGGCCTGGAGGTTGTGATTTGGGTGCAAATGCCACTTCCCGGGGTGCCTTGCCTGTGCTTCCTGTGTGCCTGTCCACACATCAGCCCTGTGTCCCCTGCCACCCCAGCCCTCTAGCCTGTCCCACTGTGTCCACCAGTGCTCCCAGCCCTGCGCATGTGGCCTCCCTCCCTCCCAACCCTGCTGCTCTCTGTCCTGCAGTGGCCATCAACCTCATCGTGCAGCACATCCAGGACATCCTCAACGGAGGGCCTTCCAAGCGGCAGACCAACGGCTGCCTCAACGGCTACACCCCTTCACGCAAGAGGCAGCCATCGGAGTCCAGCAGCCGGCCGCATTGACCCTGGTTCTGCACACCTGCCCGCCTCCGAGACACCGCTCACCTGTACACACCGTCTCCTCTGACATCGCTGTATTTAGGAAAACACCTTGGGGATGAAATGCCTTTGATGATTTTCTTTTTCCTGTTTATACTTCGGAACGGCGAAATCCAACAGAACTTGACCTCAGCTTAAGCAACAAACCGTGCCAACGTCTCCTGGTGATGCCTGATTATGAATCCAACGTGTAACCAATTATAAATACATACGTAGAGAGAGATATATATAAAAGGATCTATTTTTGTGTAAATGTACAAATACTGTACAGCTCTTTGCCGTAAGTATTTTACAGGGGCCTCGCCTGTGTATGTGGGGCCTGGAGCTGCAGCTGTGTTGTGGGGAGTGGGCCGGCTGATGCCCCTTGGCTTGGCATCCAGGAGCTCGGCTGGAGCGGGGTCGAAGCCTGATGGCCTCCTGTGCGATGCCCTTAGGAGCTGAAGCTTGGGTGCTTGAAGGAGGGACTTGTGTCCTCCTTTGTGTGAATTAGTGAGCTCTCAACTTAGAATCGGTCCCAGGGGAGAGGACAGGTCTGCAGAGGCTGCTGGCCCTGCCCCACCTCTGGTTGCTGGCCAGTTCTTTCTGGCCTCCCCAGGAAGCCAGAGCCACAGGGCTTGGGGGTCGCTTCCAAGTGATAAGTCGGGAGGGAGGGAGTGCAGTTGAGTCTCCGGCCTGTCTTCGAGGACGTGCTGGTTCTCAGGTGTGGCATTCCTTGGCATTTGTGTCTCTGCAAGGTCATGCAGCCGAGCTCCCGGGCCCTGGGGATGAGCTGCCCACATGAGGGACTTTTGTTGGACGTGATGGGGGGATATGCAGTGAGGGGGCTAGTGTGCCCAGGTCGGGGATCTGGCCAGCCGTGGCAGGACAGGAGGGGGCTTCCTAGGCAGACTACAGAGGAGGTGCTTTAAAGGAGCATATTTAAATCATGGCACGAAGCTGGAGTCCAGGTGGAGAGCACTGGGTGGTGATCCCTTTCCCACGGGCAGCCTCTGGGTGGAGACCTTGTGGGGAGGAAGTGTGCATTCTAACGCACTGGCAGGAGGCGGAGGAGCTGGGGGCCCCGCGGGATCAGGTGGGTGTGAGTGAGGAGCCCGGTGCCCCAGTTCCACCTGCAGAAGAGCCAGGGCTCGCCACACGGGGGCACCCTCCTGGTGCTTGGCAGGCCATCCCTCGGTCACCCCGCTGTGGCTGCCGTGCCGACATGGCAGAGCCTTCTCCCTCTGCGGCTCTTGGCCTCTGGAGCCTTCAGGGCAGTCTGCCTCCTTACTCTAGCCACCCGCTTCCCTCTGGCTCCGCTCGCACTCCATCGGCCCTCCAGTCTGGTTGCCATCTGCTGCCCCCGAGGTCCCCATGAGGCCATGCAGGCTGGGAGGGAAGCTCGAGGGCTCCGCGTGGCTCTGAGGTGGGTCCTCAGCGAGTGGCTGCACTGGAGAGTGCTTCAGGGCCAGATTCGCCTCTCCACAGTCATGGCTGGTGCAGGGTGGGTGGCAGGCTGGGTTAGCCTCCCGAGGATGTGGCCCCCAGCCCTGCTGGGCCCGCCCGGGCTCAGTCGGAGCCCGTCCTGCAGGGAGCCTCAGCCTTGAGAGGCCAGCGCCCAGCATGCTGACGTTACTTGACGCTCCCAGGTGCCAAACCATTTAGTGCCTTGGCCATGTATCCCACTGCCCGAGGGCCGGTTCTCCTCCTCAGAGCCCTCACTTACTGAGCCGCTTCCTCATCTACCTGTGGTGTTGGGACCAACCCCCAGGGTCTCTGAGCCACCCACTCCCAGCCTGGGCACAGTCAAGGGCTGCCCTGTCCCCTCATGAAATGATCACAAGTCCTCACAGCTCGGCCAGAGGCCCTGGGCAGTGCATGCTTGGGGTTGGACACACTGCCTGGGACAGGAGGGGGATGGCAGGGGGAGGGTCCACCCTCTGTGGCAACCCAGCCTCCAGCCTCCTGTGTGTCGGACTTGAGCTTCCTGTAAGACAAACCAGGTCTGGATTTTTAAGTCTCTGGATGTCCGATACAACTGGAGAGTCATTAGACCGCAGGCCTCGGGGTCTGTCCCCTGGCACTCTGGGCTGTGGTGGAGGAGGCATGGGTGAGCAGAGCAGGCAGTGTCACAGGAGGAGGCAGTGTCACACGGGAGGCCGGGCCTCGTCCACACCAGTGCAGCTCCAGCTGGGCACGTTCCTTCCTGGGCAGCTGAGACTGGTGTAGGGAAGACGGGCATCTGAGGAGGGCACGTGTTGTGGCCTCAGGTGTCCTTTGATTTGGAGCGGGAAGGGAAGGCCCCAAGAGCAGCCATAGGTCCCACAGAGGACCTGCGCAGACAGGCCAGGGAGGGGTGGGGGGTCCCTGGTTTTCCTGTCCCCAGGAATCCAGACGTTCAGCGTTGGCCCCACTTAGCCATCGTGGGCAGCCTGACTCCTGCTGCTCCTGGGCTGGGGACTGGGCTTGTTGCCGTGCCCAGGTAGGTTGCCAGTCCCCTGCCCTGCAGTCTCCCAGGTGCCTGTCCCAGGTCTGGATGTAGGATACCCTTTTCTCAGGGGGAGCGGGCCAACATACTTGGTGTCACATTGAGAGAGTGCACAGGCCGGGAAAGGCACGTTTAAGAGCCCTGGAGCTCAGAGCCCCTTTAGGCTTCTGTCCCTGGGCGTCCCTCCTGTACTGGGCGTGGTGACTGGGTTAGGGTCAGGGTCTGCAGCTCTGGGGCAGCGAGTGGCTCAGAGACTTCAGCTTTCCTTCCCTTGGAGATGCTTGCTTCCCCTTTATTGTTGGTGGCCACAGAAAATATGTACTTTGCTGTAAATAAAGACTGAATGAAAAGACCCCACTCTGGCCTTGTTCATGGTGTCTGGTCAGAAGAGCCTGTGGGTGCCGGCTGGGACGGCCGGGCCCCGCCGTTGCAGAGGAGCTGTGTTCTGGGGTGCAGGAACCCTGGCTGAGCATGTGCTCCTGTAGGAACGGCAGGCTTGCCCCGCTCGTCATGCAGAAAGCCCAGGCTTCTGGGGGGCCTGGTGTCTCCCGTTAGGCAGACTCACTGCTGAGGGGCGCGCCACGGGTGAGGAGAGGCACCTTGACTGTGCAGAGGGCTCACGTGGGCCACAGGAGCTTACCACACTATGGAGTGAGCGTGAGCCTGTCCTTGTTTGCAGCAGACCCAGGTCACCTGCCACTCTAGCCCCCGCCTCCTGGATCCCAGTGACACCCTACCTATCCCTGTCTCCTGGTCTCCCAATGACACCCCAGCCCCCCTCTTCTGGTCTCCCAGTGACACCCGACCTAGCCCCCCTGTCTCCTGGGTCTCCCAGTGACACCCTACCTCACCC